GTACATGTATCATTAACTGAAAATGACTATAAATACACATGTACATGTACATGTATCAATTAATGGACAATGTTATGAAGACAAATTGAAGTAATACTGTCCATGCAGTATAGCTAATAGGAGGAGCACATGAAATAAAAGCTGAGATCCCTCCCTCCCTCTCTCTCTCTGATGTCCTTATCAGCCAAAAAACAAAGCTAAAATGTTTTTGTCAATTTATAAAATTTAATACTCAACAGATAAGTACATGTATGCATGGAGAGAGATATACATGTACATATGGTAGAGAGTGGATACAATATTTACCTTGCAAATATTTTAGATAGTTTATCCAGTTTGATCACATTATTAGGTAGACATCTTAACTCATTGTACTGGACCTATAATAACAATAACACACAACATGTAAACATAATTATCAGTCTTTATACAAAAATAAACAACAAACTAAACTATAAACAAATCTACAACATTCAAGGGAGTTCTCTCAAACCATGCAGTATACCATGCTATTACAATTTAATTCATACATACATGTACACTAAACATGTATTATAATGATATTAAAAATCTTATATTTTCATTCTCACCTCAAGCGCTGACAATGAATTAAAGTTTTCAATATCTTCGGATATTTCTTTGATTTCGTTAGATGATAGATCCAGTCTAGTCAGTTCCACCTGGTCCCACCATCTCTCATCAACATCAAATGAAGCAGTACTACCATCAGGAGGATCAATATTGAGTCTCCACAGTTTAGGAGGAATAACACTAATGCCCCTGTAATTATACACATTCACCCACTAACTTTCATACATCCACATGTTCATTAATGGGTCATAAAAATGAAAATCAAAAAAAATCCTTTAGGCCATTTTTGGTGAATTTTTTAAAAACGATGTTGCAAGTCTCACACAGCCTCCTACCTGTTAGACAGGTTCAGTGAACCGGTTTTACGAGCTTCTTTCAATAAGGATTCTGGTACAGTCCCCTCCTTACCTACCCCATCACTTTGACTAGGAGAATTGAAGAAGTTGGCATTTGGTTTGAGTCTAGTAGAGCCAGCAGGAGATTTTCTACTGGCACCACGACTGGAACTCATTTTTATGAATTTTGAATAAATGGGTGTGGTCTTATGTTGCATAGTTTGGGTGGGGCTGGTATTTTGCAAGAATGGCATCTAAAAGTGAGGGCCACTATTCTCTTCTCTTTGTATCTCTTTCATTCATTCTTTGTCTCTCTTACTCTCTCACTTACTTTACTCCTC